AGCAGGGGGAGTGGGAGAGGGAGAAGCAGGCTTCCCGCGGAGCAGGGAGCCCGATGCAGGGCTCGATCCCAGGACCCTGAGATCATGACCTGAGCCAAAGGCAGATGCTTAACGACTGAGCCACCCAGGTGCCCCTAGTTTTCACTTTTAAATGGCTTTTTGAAAATCCACTCTCACCTAAAGTTGGGCCTTTCAGGCTGTCTTAGCTTTCCTGCGGCATTGGACTCTTTTCTAGAAAAATGAATTTTCAGAGATGCATACCCACTCTCAGGCTGTGCTCCAGGAGGACCCAGCCTCCGCACAGCGGTTGCACACTCCTGCTCAGGGCAAACATCTCTGGGGAACACCTTGTGGGCTGAATCCCCAAGAGAAACCCGTGCCTGTAGGTGGATGAGCTCTGGGTGATCCGCTGACTTTGGGTCGAGGTTGATTTTGCTGCTTAATTTTGCTGTGGGAGGAAGGAGAAGCTCAGATGGTCTCAAACATCTTGACGTGACTTTTTCCAGCAGGGTGAAGCCCAGAAGTGTCTGGGCTTCCCCTCTCTCTAACCTGCACTGTCACGGCCCTGTAAGGAGACAGTGATTCCAAGAGTACCAGTGACAGACTTCGAATCTTGGCTCAGCCACTGCCCAGCAAGTTGCCCACGTTCTCTGGGTCCTTTGACTCCATGTCCTCATCTGTAGAAGAGGGGTGAGAATTTTCACCCCGGGGGGCTGCAGGAAGGATCACATGACATAATGTGTATAAACTTGTACACAGTAGGACTCAGAGAGGTTACTGGTGTGAAGGTGGCAGCTGCTTCTTCAGAACATTTGGGTGGGCTGGGTGCAGGGTGCTGGGCCTCCAGCAAGGAAGGTAGAAAGGTAAACCTCCTCCCTTACACTGATATCATGGTTTATGGTCCTAAGCTACGAAGGGCCTTGGCTCGGCAGGCCAGCTGGATGTTTGTTTTTGCCATAGAAGAACACATAAGATCATTCCCAAAACCAGCATAATTTTTGGTAATCATCTTCGATTTAAAATTAGGCCCTAGGCTTTGCATCCCCTAGTGGTGAATATTTGTTGGCCAGTAACCCATTAAGGGTTTCGAAAGACTCTGGAATGAACTCTTATTTTTTGTTGCGTAGTGGAGGGGCCAAGTGTCACCAGGCAGGCCTGGTTTGGACATGGGTCCCGCCACTTATTGGCCGAGAGAACTTGGATGACTTCTGAACATTTCCGACTTCAGTTTCTCTGTCTACGAAGCAGAGATGGTAGCAGCCACACAGGGCTGTTTTGAGGATCAAATGACGTTAAGGCACGCTCAAGTCTGGCTGTTGTAGATGCACGCACCTTGTAGGGTCCGTTCCCGGGCTCCTTTTCTCTTACTCTGGAGCTGGGCTCCTCAGCCTGGGCACTTGTGCCCCCAGGGGGACATTGGGTCATATGAGGAGGTAGTTTTGGTTGTCACAGGTGGGAGCAGAGGGATGCTGCTGTCTCATGATGCACAGGACAGTCCCCGCAGCCGAGAATCTCTGTCCTCAAGTGTCTGTGGTTTTGAGGTTGTGAAACCCTACCCTGGAATTATGGCTGATGCCTCCCTAAATTTCTGAATGATGATTTGAGTGCACGTTTGCACTGGAGATTTCTTCTAAACGGGGCAGTCTTTTCCATGAAAAGGTTTATAGAGTTCTAGAATACAAATCATGATAAGTTATGGCCTTAACGAGTGAGCTTTGTTGAAGAGAAAGTCATGGGAGCCCTGGGGGCTGCCCCCAGGGGCTGCACGTGGTCCCATGCTCAGGCCCGTGCACTCAGCTGCACACCCCGGGCCTGTGACTTGTTTTGGAAGGGAAGCTCATTCTGAGCATGAGTGACTGGGCCTTCGTGTGCACTATAAATACATTTACAAGCCTTGTGAAGGGAGCAGAGCTGATCTTTTTGAGCACCTGCTATGTGCTGGGCAGTGTTCCCAGCAACTTCTCCTACCGTAAACCCTCTTAATCCTTCACCCTAAGCATGGTGGGATCTCTGCCCATTTTGCACAGGAGGAAATTAAGCCCCACAGAGCCTCTAACTTGTGGTAGGCCACGTGACTACTAAGATAAGAGAGCCAGGATATGAGCCTAGGCCTCTCTGTACAACTGGAGGATTTGTTCTTTCCCCCAGTCCCCACACCAATATGTCTCCACCTGGTAAAATGTATGGACCCCTTTCATGAGAAAAATATTCTCCCAGCTATGTGTGTGCCACGCAGTGGCTCCATTTACCCACGCTTTTCCCTACTTGCGCTATTGCAACACCGTCCTAGCTGGAGGTGGGCCATGTTTGATTTGGCTCCGATGTACCAGTTCTGTTCGGTATCAGTACCTATGCTTTTCTCATTGGACCACACCTGTTAAAGCAGCACCACTGGCTGCCATAACAGAGACCCTGGCATTATGTGTTCTTGAATGTGTTCTGTTCTAAAGTAATTGCCTGGAGCAGCACTCTCCAAGAGAACTTTCTGCAGTGATGGAAATGTTCCAGATCTGTGTTGTCTGGTCCAGTAGCTCATAGCTACGCATGGCTACGAAGCATTTGAAATGTGACTCATGTGATGAAGGAACTGCATTTTAAATTGTGTTTAATTTTATTTATTTATTTATAAAATTTTTTTTATTTGTCAGAGAGAGAGTACAAGCTGAGGAAGAAGCAGGCTCCCCACTGAGCAGGGAGTCTGATGCAGGACTCGATCCCAGGACCCTGGGATCATGAGCCAAAGGCAGATGCTTAACCAACTGAGCCACCCAGGTGTCCCTAAATTGTATTTAATTTTAATTTAAATTTAAGTAGCCACAAATGGCCAGTAGTTACTATACTAGAACGGTGGTTCTGAATCACCTGGGGAGCTTTTATTATGTTTTTTTTAAAGATTTTATTTATTTTTTTGAGAGAGAGTGAGAAAAGCACAAGCTTGGGGGAGAAGCAGAGGGAGAGGGAGAAACAGACTTCCCACTGAGCAGGGAGGCCAACGTGGGACCTGATCCCAGTAGTCTGGGATCATGACTTGAGCAGAAGGCAGACACCCAACCGACTAAGCCACCCAGGCATCTCACCTGGGGAGCTTTTAAAAACCCTAGCATGGGGACACCTGGGTGGCTCAGTCGGTTGGGCGTCTACCTTTGGCTCGGGTCATGATCGGGCTCCTTGCTCGGCGGGGAGTCTGCTTCTCCCTCTGCCTGCCTCTCTCCCTGCTTGTGCTCTCTCTCTCTGACAAATAAATAAATAAAATCTTAAAAAAAAACCCAAAAAACAAAACCCTAGCATGGAGGCTACATCTCAGACCAAGTAGACTGCTTGAGGGTACCACCTAAGCATCGATATCCCTATAGATGATTCAGGAAATGCTTATATTACAAGATGATCATCAAGATTAAATCACAACAAATTCTCTTAGGGAACTTATGGGACCTCAGTTTGAGAAACTGGCATATAATATGCTGCCAGTGGGTGTTTGCCAAATCTTTTTTTTTTTTTTTAAGTTTTCTTCTTTTGGTTATAATTTAACATTGGCTTTTCTCAGGTTGCTTGAACCCTTTGTACTCGTGTTGGGCTGTCGTAAGTAACAGTCTAATGCTGTGCGTATTTCCCTCCCCAACCCCCAGGATGGCAAACTGTTGTGAGTCGTGGCAGGGGGAAGTCTGCCAGCATTTTAGATTGTTTTTTGACTTTAAAAACAGAAGTTCCTATCATGACTGAGGAGCAAAAACAGGACTTAAATCCCCTGACCATAAAGATCAAGTGTGTTTCCTGCCTTCCTTCACAACCTGTTCCCCTCCATGAACTAGAGGTAAGAATGAGCCAGAAAAACTGATTGGAGAGCTCTTTTTCCCATCCGGTTGCCCATTACATGTCATCTCTAATTCCCCCTAGTGGCCTTCTGTGAGATGTATCATCATCCCCATTTCACCATTTAGGATCTCACAGCAAGACATGAGAGATTGATTTCCTGGGTTTAGGAGCTATCAACTCTTGATGTCTCCCCAGTACAC